GCATATCAATGTTCACGCAATGGTACAGTCACTAGTGACATATATCTGAGGATGTGTCCCTGCATGACTACATCAAACACAACACCAAGCCCAATTTTCCAAAAACAAAACAAACAAAAAACCAAAGAACAACAACAAACCCCCTACTTTGCTGTATTGGTTCAGTTGACATAGCACAGTCACAGCACATAGGACACTGTGTTCATAAAGTTACTGTCCAATAATAGGAGGTGTTAAGAGCAGAAATACACATTTTCTGTTGCAAACCTTCAGTTTTAAAGCCGATTAATATGAAAAGCAGACAATTATAAGGATTACCTCAACTTTCTTTAACATCCTTCTTAGTGTTTTTTAAGGAGAAATACACGAAAAAAGCAACAACTCACCGTGACTACAAAAAGAAAAATCTGTTGTAAAAATTTTGAGTTAAATCGAGTACAAATATACACTTACAAAAAAATATATCAGAAGTAGTTCACAGTACAGTCTTTAATTTAGGAAACCAAGTAGATTGCTTTGTAGAAAAAAAAATTGACCCTACCAACGAGAATCAGATGCATCATTAAACCGAAGCTTCAAGAGTGCTCCCAGGGCAGCTACTCTCGTCAGCTATCCTGTACCAGGCACCCTCAGAAAGCAAGTGTCAGACACTTTAGGGAAAATAACAGCCCAGAGGAGGAAAGGTAGTTTGCTGTTGCTCAAGGAATCATAGCATCTGAGATGTAAAAGTGAAGAGCTCACTGGGTGGCATTTTTACCTGGGATCTGTTTAAATGGGTTCCATAGGATGAAAGTAACAAACAGGCAGTCTCAGAATCCAGGAGGCAGTGTATGTTAGCTCTGGAGATGTTTCCTGAAACTCTGAACCACAGCCATTGCAAGCCCAAGCTGTATCCCTGGCCTACAGAGCAACTCTGAGGACCACACGCTTCCTCAATTTAAGCAAACTTAAATGTAAACAAAGTCTTTAGGTGAATTTAACCCAAAAATATTTTTTAAGCCTATTAAACTATTTAAACATGGAAGCATGATTTCTTTATACGAGAAATAGGGGTAAAATGTTTCCTATGCAAAGACCATGATTTTCACATATTTCTTATAGTTTTTTTTAATCAGAGTCTATGTATTTTGTCTTTATGTTTTTACTAAGTGAGGGAAGCAACATGGCCTGCAAATAAGCCAAAGAAACTATTCTACACTGATCATGAAAGAAGTTCTCTCATAAATTCTTCACTCAGTATCTGTGTTCTTGAACTTTGCTTAATTATCTGACCCAGCACAAGACATTTTCCTGCCTTTCTTCCCTCTCTCCAATATACCAGAATTTGATGACTAGATTGCAAATCTTCCATAAAACAGAGAAATTAAAACAAAATAGAAAGGTGTTAATTTTCAGTCTTCATTTTAAATGATCCTCAAAAAAGACATTATGTAAACCTGCTCATGTTACAATTTCTAGAATTTCAAACAGCCACAACATACTACTTCAGTCTCTTCACCAAAGATTCTCAACTTGATGCTAAAGGAAACGAACAGTTTGCTCTAACTTTTAATATTGTTGTTTGTTCAGATTTTAAAAATGACCTTGGTTATGTTTTAGTGGATAGTGAGGCTGAAACAGGAGGACTAGAAATTTGAGGCTAGCCTGGACTACATGGAACCCTGTTAAAATGAAATAACACACAGAAAATACCAGGACAATAAAAGATTTTAGATCTAGTAAAATGGAAGTTTTAGCGAATTATTAAAATAGGAGTTTATATCACTATTCTTCCCAACATTTTTACACATCTGATTTATGGGTACAGACAAAGGAGCTCTCTGCAACAATACAAGAGTACCCTTCACTGTCTGACACCACGTGCAGCTATTTAAATTTAAATTATATGCTATTCATATTGAAATGCTCCCCACTCAGACTAGCCGTCTGTTGAGTCCACAGTATGGACTGTGACCACCATATGGAGCAGCACAGTCCTAGAATATTCCCATCCTCAGAGATGCCCACTGTGTCACACTTCCTACTCTTTTTCCAAACTTTTCTTTAAAACATCACCCTGTGCTTTCTCCTCAGCAGCAAGATTCTGCTTTGCACAGAATCTAGCTGTTTGTAACTGTAGAACTGTTTGAACTCTAGCCACAAAGGATGTCTTTGTCATATCTGGAGAAGGCACACTTGTCTCTAGGGGGAAGCATGTGACTGACATGTAGTCAGTAGCTGTATGGAGGCTGCTAGAAATCTGCCCAGTGAGTCAGGGATCAGCAGTGTGGAGGCTGAGAAGCTCTGCCCTATAAACTCTACACTGGACTCACAATGGGATGCTTGCCCAAAATTAGATTAGCTACAACACAAAGACAATCCAAAGACTAAAATACACCATCCACAAGAAAGTATATATCCCAAACTAACCTAGACTTAGGACTTAAAACATACAGTAACTTTAAAAAGACACATATTTTAAAATGTTATCACTATAAATTCTTATTTTTAAAGAGCAAAATGGTTTTTCATACAAGCTAGATAGATCATTTTCACTTCTTCATATTATATCTTAGATGAAAGTTGGGGCTATGACTTTTAAATATTTATTTATTTGTTTACCACTATACATAAAGATACACACATGTATGTTGGCACACACAATATTTTATAGACACATTCCAATGCACACACATATACAAATATATAATCTTGTAAAAGAAGGATAATTAGGTATGAATGACATAAGATAAAGAGCATACTATAATTATAAAATATGATAAAATAGTATAAGTGTATGTAAGTGTGTGTTTGTGTGCACATACACATGCAAATAGGGGTATAAGTAATTACACAGTGTGGTGGTAGCATGAATTACTTAGGAGAATTCCATCATCGGGAAAAAGATATGGAAATATCTAAATTTCATTTTGAAAACCATAATTATGCTGGAAAGCTACACCTTAATTATTTAAATGATGGAACATGTAAGAACTATCTGAAATGGAGCACATGACAGGAAACTCAGTATGAGAAGACTTATGAATTAATAATTCTTGCAAAACAGAAGAGGAAGGGTAATAAATGAGAAAGTAATGTAGTTTCATATGGTAATGAGTTCTTTGCAGAATATTAACAATTAGGAGATAGACAGAGGGAGGTGGACCTTAGGCAGATGTCTTTTTATAGATATCAGGTCTTGAAAAAGAAAACTGAGGATTCATGTGGGTGCAAATGGTATTGGAAGTAACATTAGTAGATTCCCTCTCCCAAGTGGTGAGTATAAGGACAGAGTTAAGGAATACACCCACCATCTGTGAGCAGAAAGTGGCCAGGAGCTCACAGAGATGACAGGAAAGCAAAGGTCTCATTATCTTGCTTTCAGGTCAAGATCCTAATAATCTATGAGGAAGAGGGAAACCTCTCATGCTCTAGAAGGAGAGATGACCTCAAGGAAAACTTAATGGGTAGTGTGAGCCAGAGCACTTAATATCTAAGAGGAGGGTTGGAAGGAGGTCAGTGAAGATCAACCAAGGTTCATATGCAGCAGGCATCAACACACAACAGTGTTTTTCCCAGAAATAATACTGGATGTTGTTCCATGCATTTTATTAAATCAGTATAGGTTTTCATCACAGGAATTGTGCCCTAGCAAAAGATCTACAACTGGCAATTCTAATTAAGAAAGCAATGAGTTTTCGTAATTAGAGGCATCTCCCTGAAATGTACATTCTCTAAAATTATATATGAAAAGAATGAGAACATAAACAGATAAATTGCATTGATTACAGTATACATATATAATAACTGATAAATATAATAACTGATATATGCACATGTGATGCTGGCATCATTGAATATCTATTCATTTTAGAACAAAGTGACAAGAATTTCTTTATAGTTTTTTCAAATGAAAGCCCTTTTTCTGCTCCTCTAATGTATAGCAAGTCAGACATAATCTTGAAGTCACTGACAACAGTCTCTTTCTTATTAATCATGATGATGTAATTTCCACCCCACTTACACACTTCTAAAATGAGGGAAAGAGAAGAACTCCATGTTGGGGACATTTCATATTTAACACAAGGGATATCTTAAGTCTTTCTGATGTCGATTAAATGTGAAATCAGCCTAAAACTCTGGCAACTTTTAAAGATATGTTTTAACAACAAGTTTCATAAAAAAATCAACATAAAAAATCCAGAAAAGATTTTTTCCTATTTACTGATATAGTGAAAAAACTTACCAGTCGAAAGAGTCATGTAAACATAGACTGAACTAATAAAACAATTAAATTATCCCGTTTCTGTTTACACAATTTCATTTTACACCAGCTATTATATTTACTTGTATCAAATTTGATATTTACAATGACAGAAATCAGAGTTTTTGAAGTTTTTAGACCCTAAAGCACTGACTTTCAGTTCAATTTTCTATAATATTCAGATTTGCCCCCAGACCAACAGTGGGAAGAGTTAGGAATCTTCCTGAGATTCTGGGATAGAAAATGACAGTCTTCACTTCCTTCCCTTTAGTTAGGAGCTCAGGATCAAAGCAAAGTAAATTTTCCCTACAGTATCACTATCATGAGATTGTCCTTTAATATATGGTCCTTTATACCTATATATTTAGGACTAGGTTGTTAGGTCAAAGAAAGTTTAATCATCTTTAAACTCTTGATTTACTCAAAAGTAAATGGTAATATAAGAAAACATCATGATAGACATCCAACTACTCTCCTGCAGCACATTCTATATTTGAGAAGCAAAACAGGAATGTGCTTGGATTTCATAACATCTTTTTATAAATCTGTCTAACACTTTAATTTTGAAAAGAGTACTTAAATCTAAAAATAATAAAGTGGATGACATAACCCGAGTGCCCAGAAAAAGTCTCCATAGAAACAGATTTTTTTTTAAATGGACACAAGAATGAAGAGGTGGTTCTGATTTTAATAGATTCTTACTCATTGCTAGGCTTCAATGCTTTGTTTATTCATTTGTTCAGTATGAAAGGCTTACCATCTTGCTGGCCATGGAGAGTCTGGGGACTTTGCATTCTTTCTTCCAGATTCGAGCTAAGGTCAGAGTTCACGGCTGACATCCTTGTTGAATCACTCATATCAAATTCATCACTTTCTATAGAACTTTCATCCTGAAATGGTTTGAAAATATAGTTAGGCACCAAAACATGTAACTGTGTACCAATAATTATTCTGTCTGTGTGGTCAATGAGAGGCTTGATGGGAAACCTCCTTTAGCCAATGGCCTTTGAGAGGCTGGACTAGGTTGAGGAGTGACTTTGGGATACCAAAAATTGCAGTCCTGCCCACTCGTCCCTCCTCTTTTCCTGTGCTTCACACCTAATTGTTGGACCCCCATTTCTGTTCCGTGAGTTCCCTTTTTAAATAAAGAAAAACCTCAGTATACTCTATTTGGATTAGCTTGGAATTGACTTGTGTTCCCCCCATTTGACGTGTTCTGTGTCAGAGGTTATCCAGTCAGTAATCATCAGGTTCTAAATGTGGTTCTTACTGATAAATATTTGGAAGAGTAAATGATGAAATCATTTCTCCCTTAAAGACTTGTCAAGGATTTTGAATACATAAACACAACATTATGCATGATACCATTGTAAAGGTAGAATAACGTGTTAAGAGAAGAAGCAATTTAGGAATTAAGCCTGAATATTAAAGTAAAAATGTTCTTAATGAATTTGTCTTAAAAGAGGTGACCATAAAACATGATGGAAAAGAAAATGTAAGTTTTACTGTAAACAAAATGACTCAGTAAAAATTATAAGCACTGACCATATAATGCATTGATAATTTTTCATCAGCAAACAGAATGGACTCCAATAATAAATCATATGTATAGATTCAATGTATTTGATACAGAGAAGGAATTCTTAACATCTTTTACAAATAAGTATAATAGATGATTTATAGATGATAGAGATAGATAGATAGATAGATAGATAGATAGATAGATAGATAGATAGATAGATAATTATTGAGGGTACATAGATGATAGATATGTGGGATACATCATGGGTAGGTTGGTAGATACCAAATAAATAAATCATATGGTTATAGATGATAGATAAATAGATAAGATTATATATGGATAATAGGTGGTCCATAGAGGAGAGGTAAATGATTTATGTAGCTAAATAATACAAAGCTATCTTATAAGCAGAGAGAACACTGAAATCACAAAAGGAGTTCTAAATAACATGGTATAAAACTCTTTCACTAAAAACCAGGTCACAAAAATGTCTACCATATGGATAAGTCAGAAAAAAATGTTAAGTATGAACAGTTAATGAACTGAGATAGGTATACTTTATTATTTTTGAGGATATCAGGTAATTACAACATTGCTCTATACTCTTCCCTCCAAACCCTCACATACACCTCTCATTGCTCTGTTTCAAATTCATGACCTCTTTTTCCTTCTTTTGTTATATGCATATATGTATGAGTATACACATGCAAGTTCTTAAGTATCACCCACTTGTTCTGTATAATGTTAATTATATGAATGTTTTCAGGATCTGATCACTTGGTATTGAGTAACCAATTGGTGTGTTCTTTTTTAGAGAAGACTATTTCCCCAAATCTCCACATTCTTGTAGTTTTTGTTTAGGATTGAAGTCTTGCAAGCTTCCAAAGGAGGGGGCAACCAACAGTCCTACCCTGCTATGACACCTATGAGCAAATCAACTACCAGCATGACATGGTGCTGTAGGAAGTCTTACAACCAGTGGTGACCCACCCACTGGGGTGTGGCCTCTTATACTATCTAAGCCACTGTAGAGCATGTGTTTGCCCTCTTTCTGGTTGCTAGATTTGGGTTCTGTTCTCCATTCAAGCAAAGGATTCTGATTTATGAGTTTACCCCTAAATAAATAACCAACTATTTCTCAATTCTGAGCTATTGTGGTATTTCTTTTAAGCATCCTTTCACATTTGGCACCCCAACGTGGGGCACAAATCTATGACACTGAGATTAATAGTCTCATGTTCTACAGACTGAGTTAGAATATTGTATGCACGCATGCTTCTGCCTCTGTTTAAAACATTTTTATATATTAATATATTTATCATATTGCAATGTACATTTCTAACTCTGATCAAGATATATATATATATGCATTGTTTGCAGTTTGAGGTCATTGTCCTCACTTGTTGCACATTTGTTTATTGTATAATATTCTAATATGAGGTCTTAGTCTATAAGTTATATAGGTATTAAGAATTATAGATCAATAGTCATCTGTTATACTTAAAGTTAGACTAATCAGGTTTCTTAGATACATAAAAGATTATATTCTGCATAGATAAGTAATTTCAACCACTTGAAAGAGCTGAAGAATATGGCATTTAAATAACTTGGGGTTTTGTTGAAGTGAGACATGATTGTTCCTGGCAGCACCGATCTATTCCTGAGAGAATGTTGAACACAGAAGACACACCACTTGGAGCTTGTTTTCTTCTTGACAAAACTGGCTTTTGGGCAAGGAACTGCCTATGCCTCAACCACTGACAAGATACATAGTTTCCACAAATGGATAAGCAGGACTGTCAAATATTGCCAAGGTAGGGTAAGACAGTTTTGAAAATTTTCCTGCCTCTGAAAATGGTCTGTCAGTTATTCTAGGCCTTAGCCAAAGTTGGTTACTTCAACATTGCAAATGACACCTTTGGGTGATTGCCCAGGTAGCCAGTTGTCTCTGTCATTTGATGCACATTTGGAAAGTTGCTTGATTGCACTTCCTGCTTACTTAAGTAATATTATTTCCCTTCTTGGATCTTCAATGGGGTTGAAGACTAGATAGTTGTAGAAACTTTCCTCTCATGACTTGGCCAATTTATTTATTAGACTAGTTAGGATAGAATAATTATTGAATATATTTGTTCTTAATGTACATAATTTTGTATTAGGCTTAGAATGCTGTTATTTAAACAAAAGGAAGAGGTGTTATAGGAAGTCTTACAGCCAGTGGTTACCTGCCCACTGGGTTGTGGCCTTTTATACCGTATAAGCATGCCATGTATCTGCTCTCTTTCCAGTTGCTGGATTCAGTTTCTGTTCTCCATTCAATCAGAGGATTGTGATTTTTGAGTTTACCCCTAAAAAAATAACCATATATTTCTCAATTCTGAGCTAGTTTGGGATTTCTTTTAAGCATCCTTCCACAACGTAGTAAGTATGTAGTAGTGGCATCCATACTAGCACACTAATCAACAGCTCCTAATTGGACTTAGAACCTACTTATCAAAAGGAAAAAACACGCCTGGTACTGGAACCCTAGCTAACTACTCAGTGCTACTGAAGGCACACATATTGGTAGGGAATCTATACTCACTAATTTACTAAACCAGCATAATTCCTAACAATAAGTATAAACATTTGTCCTTAAACTACAGATAAGTATAGTCATCACCACTCATCAAGAAAAGTTCTCTTAGACAGTAGGATGCTCAGTTCCAATTTCACTGAAGCAAAGAGCTTGTCATTATACTTCAAAGTAATTTCTTTGCTGATTACAAGATGCTGGTGGTTTTATGTAGTTTAAAAAAGGAAATTAAGAACTTTTCCTATTCAAAGAAGCTATTTCTTCAACATTGGGGTACTTCAGATTTCATGGTTACAAGGCAAGTACTTTACCCACTGAGCAACTTTTCCAACTTTAATAGATGTCTTTGTAAGTAAATATTTTAAATATTTGGCATTTATTTTTTTGCTGGAGGGCCACTTTTGTACATCCAGAAGAAAGTTTGCATGAACCCTTTGCCTCCTTCCATCATGGGCATCTGTCCTGAGGATTGAACTCAAGTCATCAAGATTGGCAGTCAACACCTTGTACCTGCTGAACTATTGTGCCAGATTAAGTATTTCTTATATATAACACAAATAGCTAATGAGATAAAACTATTTCTATAGGACTTATGGACATGTAAAATGTGTGTGTGTGTGTGTGTGTGTGTGTGTGTGTGTGTTTGTAGAAAGAAGGGCAAGATGCAAAGTCTCAATTGTGTTCCCTGTTCTGTGAAATGACTACAAAAAATGCTGAGCATTGTAGGTAATCAGTATAAATTTATCATCATTAAATGATACTTATCAGCATATTTTTTTAGAAGTTTGGACAAAAGATTAACAAACTTTCTTGTTAAGTGTACCATTTCTTAATGTGGCTTCTATTGTTGTGAATAAAGACCATGAAGAAAAGCAAGTTGTGAAATGAAAGGATATGTTTAGCTCACATATCTCAAGTCACAGCCCACTGAGGAAAGTCAAGGCAGGAACCTGGAGGCAGGAATTGAAACAAAGACCATAAGAAACAATGCTTATTTGTTTGCTCCCCATGAAATCTTAGTTTGTCTTTTTTTTTTCTATATGAGCCCACAGTGGGCTGAACCCTCTCACATCAGCCATTAATCAAGAAAATGCCCCCACAGACTTGCCTACAAGTAATCTGATGAAGGCATTTACTAAATTGAGATTTCTCTTCCCAGACATGTCTAAGTTTGTGTCAAATTGACAAAAAAAAAAAAACTATCAGCACATTTGCCACACAGTTTTGCTCTTTAAAAATACTAACTTTAAAGTATTTGTTATCATTGGTAAATTAACAATAGGAAAATTTGTAATTTTCTTTAACACTACCTTATGAAGTATAAGTGATTTATCATGTCTTGTTATCAAATACCAGTTTTTACATATTTATACAACCTGAATAAATACGTAATTGTACAGCCTCAGCTAAAAGCATGTGCTCGTTCTATAATTTTATTCCAATTACTATCCAATTCTTAACTTAATTATTCTTTTTAATGAAATAAAATTTATAGAATTTAGAGAAGATTTATGGAATGTAAATTATTTTTGTCAGCATGGAAATAAATTAAACTATAATCAGAGAAAAATAAACGAGTTCTAAGTGTTAAATTTTTAAAAGAAGCTTTTCTGAGACTAGAAAGTGTGATATTATTATGCAGTTGTTTCTCCAGGATCATTTTTAAGCCACTTGTGTGAGACTTTCTACATAAGCCTCTGCTAGGTGTTGTAATATAACCAGGGGCAATCGTTCAGGGAAGTCCATTATATATTTATATTATGGATTGAGATATCACCATGGTTTATCTACCT